TTTAAAAAAAAAACATATTTGTATCCATTTACATACTGTAATCTGACCTGAATTACTATTATGTTCAGTAATTACGTTCAAAATTAATAAAACAAAGATTCCAAGGAGAAGGTCTTATATTAAAGGGAAAAGTGAAATTGACATTTTTAATTCAATTATATTATTAGTTTTAGAAATAAGTTCCTCTACAGGATCTAATGACGGGCGCCTACATATAATCCGGAGTACATGTGCCGTGGAAGGTTTAAAAGGTGTGTGTGTGGGGTGAATTTGTTCAAAGTCAATAAAAACATGACTCTGTGAATGAGATTATTATGTGACATCATGAAGGATCTTCTGGCAAATGCATTGCTTGGCTGATTATATCGGTGCTGGTGGTAGAGGAAGTAACTGTAGTTCTAACTAATATGGATTAATTGGGATGTAAAAGATACAATGAAAACACCTGGGGGCCTAGAAAGGGCTGTGACCACCTTTCACACATGAGCTTAAAGTTTAGAAAGAAATGTTTATACTGCATGTGTTCTTGGTAGTGGAGAGTGCTTTATCATATTGGAAAATAAACTATCTGCATCTGGAAGGTGAAATTAACAATTTAAGGAAGCTTGGTCAGAAAATACTGTCAACAGAGCTTTGTGCAGTGAACCTACCCTGTACAACAACTCCCCCCAACCCATTGTGTGAGAAAGCACCTACTGTTCTCAGTTTTAAAGACACTACACTTTTTCACTTCCATTTGAGTTCTCAGTCTGTATTTCATTGTTGATTCTGAAAAAGTCCATTGGGTTGACTTTCTCAATACCCAGGAGAAGTTTGAAATTCCCTGTGGGTGCAATAGCAAAACTGCCTCATACCACCAATGGGTTGACTGCTCCAGGGTGAGTATTTGTCTCCTTTTTTTTTGTCAGTGGTGTTTGTCTGAGTGAGAGATGCAGGGACAGCTTGTACATATCCAATAGGTATACCAGGTGGTTAAATGAGATGCTTGATTTGAGGAAAATTTTAAAAAAAAAATCTATTAAGAAATTTGAAAGATTTAATAAATACAAGTAAAATAAGAAAGATATAATTATATAAATTTACCTGTGTGTAAGGAACTAATATGAATTACAATTTATTTATCGCTATTTCTGATGTGTCAAATACTTTTACAATACTGTAAAATATTCATTTCAGTCTCACCGTGTTCTTTGTATGCTCCGAAAAGGTACACCACTATTGCTATTCACACTGCTACCTGTGTTATTGTTAGCGAGTTACTATCTTTAAGATTTCTAAATCCAGAATGTGAGTATCTTTAAGCATTATTAAACTTTATCTATATTGGGTTGTATTATAATGAACTTATCTTTCTTATAACTGGCCTCTGTATAAGAAATAAAGGTTTAAAGATGCTTTTGTCATTTACTTGGCGGGATAATTTTGTGTCTATTTTAATTGATCATATTATTATTACTTAAGAAATCATACTGGTTGATCTGAATTGAAGGATAAACATTTAAGACACACAGAAAGACATCATAAGAGAAAAGTCAGAGAGTAGAGATGAAGACAGAGAGAGAGAATTAATGGCATTAAATCTGGTCTTGGATTTGGTCATGCATTTTAGTCACAAAAGTTTTCAAATAGATTTATACCCTACAGAGAAATATTATTATAACATAACACTAAAAATGTTAATTGCATTTTTATTACAAATCCAAAATCATCACAAACTAGTGTTCTTAAACTGCCAACGTCATGAAAATCCAAATATAGAAAGAAAGCTCTTAGATTCCTTTTTAATGTGTTTTCACAGATCACATAATAAAAGAAACACATTCTTTGCTCTTAAAACATGATTTTTCCTGCCTTATATTGTAAGCTACTGGAGGTCTCAGTAAAGGGGATTGGACCCTACGCAGTGCTTGATACAAGATGTAAGAGAGAAAGAGATCTTAAGCGGATAAACAGAAGCCGTGTTTACTTAGCCAAGTCACGTAGCCAATATTCGTGGTCAAGAGGAAGCATGGGTCTTTCTCAAGACGTTTGTCAGGAGAAGAAGGTTAGCAAATGGAGCTCTGTGAGGATTAACTTAATACTGAGCGAGGAGGAGATGCAGGTGAGGAGCCCTTAAGTAATGTGTTGCCTGGAGGTGTGGTGCAGGACGAGGGACGTGGTTGGGTAATTAGGATGTGTGATGGCGTTTGTGGGAAGTAGCAGGGGCTTGTGTCTGATTAGTGAAGGCCGTGCCACATATTTTGCAGACTTAGTCATTGGTTTATTTAGATCCAGTTTTCCAGCCATTCCATGTTCTACTGACATTGTGGCAAGTCCAACAAGTCTCTCTTGCATCATTGTTTGAACGCAGATCTGTATTTATTAGCTGATCTGGGAAACGGCGGCTGGAGAGATGGTTCACTTAGCACCAGCTGCTGGCAGCTATTCTAGGGCTGCACCTCGGGGGAGATGTTTTCAACAAGATGCTTTGGGGTGTGAGGATCATGATCAAGACAACCCCAGATGGAGGTTATACTGGTTATTCCATTTGCTTTACTTTGATACTGGGTTGACTATGGTAAGAAATTGTAATTCCCATAATTCTTTTGCAG